TTCAACTAACATCAACTAACTATTCTCACTTTGAAGGCATAAGCAGGTCGAGCGGGGGTGGAGTTAGTTCTGCCTGTTGCAGTGCTGAGGTCGATCATTAACCCAACATGTCACCCGCCCACGTGGCTTGAACCCAACTCCTCCAGACCCAGAACATCCCAGAACCCTTTCTCCCCTGATCTGGTAGAGCAACGCCCCCCGTCCCTTTTCCCCCCCGGCCGTGGGGCGATCGCTCACCGCGAACACAGCCTTCCAGCCTCGGCCGGGCAGGTCGGAGCAAAGGGCCAGAGGGGACCCAATAGTGCTTCTGGTTGCTAGTAGTAGTGGCCTCCAACCTACTAGTGATGGCCTCCATGTGGGATAAACCAACGAAGCAGCCAGAAAGGCACTCTTGTAATTAAAGAAGAAACCACGGCCAGAGTCGCTTAAGCCCATGCGGCCTCTACAATGCCTGAAACGTCGTGCCGGGTTAAGTCAGCTGCCTTCAAGGCTCACAAAGTGCTGCGCCTGCGACGAAATCTGCACTTTGTATTTGATGATGTTCGCAGTCCCAACAAAAGTGCAACGTTCAGAGTTGTATTTGGCGTATTTTCCATGTATGTTCCAAACATGCAAGATATAGGACCCGAGGGCAAGTAACAAGGCAGCGCGCAAGTTTTGATCGCTTCAGAGGTTTGCGTCAGCGGGGCCCTGCGCGTGGCGCATATGCGATTGGACGCCACCGGCTGAGGGCATTGCACCGTCGGTAAACACTTCAAACGGAATGAGTGGGAATGGGTCCGAACGGACCTTGCTTGACCCACCGAACTGAAATCAGTGGCCGGGGAGGTCAACACATGGCTGAAAAGTATATTCATGATGCTGATGCATATATGTTGTTTTGTATGTGTATATATATAAATATGATATACACATTTACACTTAGTTTTGGATGGTTTGACTAGGTCTATACTATTCCGTGAATCCTGCAGCCTCATTCAATTGTGGGGTCTTCACTCAATTTTTGGTGTCCTTATGTGTCGTTCTCGTTGCTCCATGAGTGCTGGGCCAACTCCTTTCTTTCCAATCTTCCCCTCCTGCACAGTGAAATCATCTATGCCGTGAATCGGTCGTGGAAGAGGTCGGATAATGAAACCGGAGCCAGAGGCAGTGAATGGCAGTGACCCAGCAAACTTCACCGGTGAAAGAAATCGCCTGTGCTGCGGTGCCAAGGATATATGTTCACTCTGCACGACCTGGTAGCTTCCACATTGGCTTGGAAAGATGGATTGGCTACTGGATAGAATTGTTGTTACATGAAGAACTTCAACGTAGCTCTGCTTGAAGCAATACCAACAGGTCAGTGCCCCTATGATCAAACTGGTCGAGTCCAATCATTGAGGAGCGAGCCTATGTCCATTCCATTCTGCGTCCGTTTTCCAAAAAGCCCTGCCGCTTGGTGCACGGTTGTCCGTCGCAAATTCTAGGGCAGAATAGGCTACCAGTACTCCAAGTCCAAAGGGCAGGTGAAACGGGTGGAATGTACCCACTAGGTTGAAGGCCATTGCTATTAGGTTGCAGGCCATCGCTTCTAGGTTGGTAGATTCCTCTTTCCAGAGTGGCCACGTCCCTCCACAACAACTCCCCTCGAGGTCCTGCGACGGCTTTGTCGACCTGGCAGTCGACGCCGAAATCAGGTGTGAAGCAACGAAGACGTATACGACGCAATCGAGTATCAGTATCGTCCAACAAAACGGCTGGAAACGTGGAAACGCAGTTTCTGAACATTTCAAGACAGGAAGACTTACTTGCCAATCGTTTTTGCTTATTATGTGGGGTCACTGTAGACCCGATCAAGGGCATCTACGTGGAAGGCTCATGTACATTTGGGATGATCTCAAACATCGAATCCATTCATCGAATCTATGGTGAGGGTGTCCATGACATGGTGGAAGTCAGGGGAATTGTGTGATTCATCCACAATCGAAATATGGCTGGAAAACTTTATGGCTTGGTCTCGTAGAAGAAGCTACTAGGGGCTCCTGGTCTTACTACTAGGAACAAGGACGCTACTAGGGGCTCCTGGCATCGCATGCTACTAGGGGCTCCTGGCATCGCTACTAGTAGCATTCTTACCACTTGGAACAAGAAGCTACTAGGGGCTCCTGGCCTTATATACTACTAGGAACAAGGATGCTATTAACAGGGGCTCCTGGCATCGCTACTAGTAGCATGCTTACTACTTGGAACAAGAAGCTACTACGGGCTCCAGTAGGGGCTCCTGGCATCGCTACTAGTAGCATTCTTACTACTTGGAACAAGAAGCTACTACGGGCTCCTGGCCTTACTACTAGGAACAAGGACGCTACTAGGGGCTCCTGGCATCGCTACTAGTAGCATTCTTACTACTTGGAGCAAGAAGCTACTAGGGGCTCCTGGCCTAGGGACTGAATCCGTGGCACTTGCGACTCCAATGTTCCCGCTGTCGATCAGCCAAAAAGGCAACCATTACTAGTTGCGTGGTGCTAAAGCACTTCTTCGTCCGCTGACCTACATAGTCTCGAAGCATTTGCGTTTCTCTGGCACATGAGTAGAGCCACCAAGCAAAGTACACATTGATTGCAGAATTACACATCCACAATTAGGCTTACATGAACCTACTGATACTGGAATGGTTTGAAGCAAGAAACACCTTTCGGTACCTTTGACCAGCAGTCAACCATCACCTGAGCCCACCGATGCATTCGCTTTCCCTAGCGATCCATCTACGTCCTCAAACGACCGGTGGGACTGGGGGGATGCTTGGGCGGAGCAACTGAAACAATCCTCGCCTTGTGTGGAGGGGAGGTTATAGATATAGGTCCATCGGAAGATCACATGCAATTTTCACTGAAATAAAAACTCATCCAACACAAACCGAGGTGCATGAGAGTGCATGAGGTACTTTGCGAGAGACCCTTTCAGATTGCAAACTACCAAGCCAATGGACCCTCGACCGAACTTCTGCGGATCGTTGCGGCGCGATGCGGCGCGTGGTGTGCCTGTTGATGTCGCAAAGCGCCTCCACATCTCTGCTGTTCATCCCCAGCCTCAAGAGTTGGCTGAACGGCCAAACAAGCCTAGGGTCTTGGAGAGTAATTGTAGAGTAGACGACATGTCTTATCTATTCCTAATTATTGTTAATTCATCGCAATAGTTATCCATGATCCTGGCAAGTTCATAGCTGAAACATCAAGTGCACCGTTTGACAATGTAGCCAGGGCCTAGGGCCTAAACCTAGACCCCTCCTGTGATAATATTGCAGTTTGATCTTTGGTCCAAACAAAATTAGACCCAAAGACTGTGCGTGAGCCACAGCCATAGCCGGATGATTTTCCATTTGTTCGGCCCCATTCGGCTCCCCAACTCATTGTTCACCGCAGAAAAATAGAGTGTCTCGTCCTGGAAGGAAAGACAAATGAAACGAGCCAGATCATTCCGAAACCGGACTGACCTTCCAGACCCTGTTGTTGTTGCTGGACTAGAGCCTGGACTAGAGACATGGCCAATGACCATGGAGAGGTCATTGGAAGGTGGGAATCAAGTGATATGCCGCTATGCCAGCCAAACATTGTTCTGGAGCATGTCACAACTTTGTTAAGACCTGGGTTGGCATGCAAGCCACGCAGAAGGCCCCGAAATGGATCAAGGATCCGAGCTTTTTCACGGCTCTTGACAGGAGCCTAGGTAAGAACAAATGCAACAAGCACTCCCAAGCCGAGGGTACCACCTACCACCCTTTTGACCAATAAGAACAATTGATCAACAAAAATGGTTTCTGCCTTGACACATTTGACACCGGAAGCAAAGACTTTAGGATCCAAACGGAGGCTGCTTTAGGACCGAAACCGTGCCACTGGTGATCACGTGACCCGGTGGACCGAAATCCACCGGGATCCAAAGAGTGTCCAAGCACCTTCTCAGATGCGGATCCGTAGGGAAACAAAGATTCAACACAAAAAACATTGTTATGGTAGAACATGGTAGAACCCTGACCTGAATGCCGAAAATGAAGGCCGATTCCACATTCAATGCCAGTGACTTAAGACTTATAGGCGAAAGGGCCTGGAATTCTGGAGAGTTTCACACGGGGGTGGCCCGAACAGCCAAACAAACTATGCAATTCGTGGTTTTGCACAGCCAAAAGGCTCCGGTCGGTTGGATCATCGGCCGATGACAATGATGTGGAATTGAGGACAGAATCTGGTGTAACCGAAGCCAAGCCTGGTGATATTGATGGTCAGTGGAACTCTCTTGAACCGGATGTTGGTGCACCTCTCCACAACCCCAATGTACTCACGACACGTCTCTTCCATGACAACATTTGAAATCGATGACTAAGGTGGTGAAATCGATGACAGGGTCGCGCAATCTATGAGCTCAGCTTGTGCAATGATGATGGATCGTGACATCTGGATGAAATCCGTCATTTTGGCAAAACAATGCAGGCAGGCCCCTGGGGAGAGTGTGGAACCACACACGCTCGTCCTTACCCAACTGGAGCCAACAAGAAATTACAAAGAACTGCAGCCCTGTGGAATCCTGTGGACCAACAAGACTCTGTCCTTCCACATCACCACAATACTGCGACAACAAAACTTCCAAGTCCACCATCCCCAGCACAACAAAAGCGCTTTTCTCCTTCACTTTCGATCCGAGATCCCCTGTGATCCCCATCAGTGCGTCCACTGCCGAACCCCGAGATTGCTGCCATTCAGAAGCTGACAAACACTCTGAAGCCATCTTGTGCCTAACACTGTTTGATTTCTGTCTCTTGATTTGTAAAAAAGAGGCACACGTTAAAAGGGCTATTCTTTTTTCGGGGTCACTTCCCCCAGGGACTTTTGCATGTTCATCTGTACCAACACATCAAGCACTTAAACGCATTTCATCTCATGCCCTGCAAACGGCCTGGCAGCAGCGCCATGCGACGTGGAACGCCGCGGAGACCCTTTTGGCACTGCCTCACTGCATTGGCCATGTCAGACCTTGCGAAGCCGCACGCTGCGGAGAAGGGTCGAACGAGTTTCCCAGAAAAAGAACATCCCCCAAACAAAATGCTTTCTGTGAACCACAAGACGACCCAATGTCTTCTTCTCAAACCATTCTTACCCCTGTTTGCTTCAATTTGTGGTGTTTCCTCACCACCAGACTGCCGCTGCTTCTTACTTCGATGATCCTCGATGCATGATATACGACAGACCCACAGATTCTCACTCGTCAATTCGGAAGTTGCTTTTCACTCGAATTCCTTTGATTGATCACTCCTGGGTCTCTGCAGTCTCCCCACTCTGCAAGTTGGTCCTTCAAACCCTGTACACTAGAGACTGACACCCCATCCCACCGAACCAGGGTCCAGTTGCAGATCCCAGCCCCTCGCCCTGGATCCCTGTGCGATTTGGGTTTAAGATCTATCAAGGCAACGAACCCTCAAGAAGAAACCAAAGTGGTGAAAGGTCTAGGAGTCTAGGCCGAAGGTGTAGAGTCCCAGTCTGATACAGTGCAGTCATGTAGGGATAGTCAACACTCAACACCTTTGAAAGAAAATAGAAACTGACCCAAAGCCACCCCAACGACCTGCAACAAGTGAAACTCCTCTGCCATCTCTCTAGCTGCGAGAAACCGCCAGGACAGCACCTACTGGGCAGTGATCTCCCGTGGCCACGGCGGGCAAATGGAAGGCGTCCCAGAAGTGCGTCTGGTGCTCCTGCAGGTGGTTGGAGGCCGTCGATGGCCTCCAACCTAGAAGCAATGGCCTCCAACCTACTAGCGATGGCCTCCACACTCCACCGAAGAATAGTGGCGTTTGGTGATCCATCCAAGCGAAGGCCACTCCAGAAAACATAGGAACATCTGTGGTAGTGGGAGATTTTCTCCAGATTTTGCTGACCAACTATGGTCAAGACATGTGCTTTTGTGGGATTGGCAGGGAACCTGAGCGAAGGACGTTCTGGTGGGATTCTTTTGGATCCTGTGGGAGGGTGTGATATCTGAGACCTGTACACAGAGCATCCGGCTGTACATCTGCTCAAGCAACTGAGCTGATATGAACTGATATATATATATATATTATATCCAAAACGTACGTACAAAAAATAAAAAACATGGTTTATCTTTAAACACTGTGCGTACTCTCGAGTATAAATCATATATATATATATATGTATGTATCATGATAAGATTGTCCCTCACCTTCGCGAAAATGGCTCCACGTCCAAGTACTCTTCGAGTATTCCTTGACTCTGAAGGCATGCAATATCATTGCACCCTTCCACTGTCCCATCCAGGCAGGAGCACTCCTGTGCAGACACCAAGCTGTCAGAGACCATCGCATAGTCCAAACGCAAGCCTGACTTGGGACGGATCGCGCACCCCTGAACATGTAGAGATGATAAGGACCCACCTTGCCTTCAGGGTAGGTTTTGTGTGCACCTGAACTTCTTGTTGAATCTCCAGGCAAATATACTCAAGCCGCAAGCCAAATGGAGCCTTCAATTCAACCAACATAAACCAACAATAGCTCCACGTCCAATGCGTTCTCCACGTCCCGGTTACTGGGTCCGCCTTCGCTTTCGGCCGGCCGACCCGCTCCGACGCAAGCCTCGATTCTTGGGGCGATTCCCGGCCCGGACGCTCCAATAGGTAAAGGCGCCCAGGACCTGAACGTGACGAGCCAAGGCCGGTGCGCCGTGACCGGACGCTACGAACGGGGCGACCCTGGCCCTACTACGAAGGGAACAAGAAGCTACTAGCAACAAACGGCATCACTAGCACTTGCGCAAGGGAGCTGAAATGAGCTGAAGAAATCCAAGTTCCCTGCCCTGAGGAAATATCCGGTTCTTCGGCAAAGGCCTTCAAGCCTGGTGTTGCTGGCTTTTGCTTTAGGATTCTACATGACTGAAATAGTAGCGGTGTTGGTCTTCACAACCCACAAACCCATCCTAGCTCCACCTTACACCGCCCTCCAAAGTTTCTACAAAACGACACATGCCGAATGATGACAACATCTTCTGAGGGTGCTGCTGCTCTTGTTGAAAAGGATACAGATTGAGACCTCAGGTATCTCGCACCATGCCAAGTCACCTCCGGATGGCGCAAGCTAAAGCCATCCTGCAACGTTCATTGCATGGCCCGAGCGCTGGTGGGTCACATGCAGCTCGGCCTCTTGTCCAGGTAGTGTTATGCTTATCTGTGGTTGCTTTGGGTAGCCAACTCAGGCCCATGAAGAACAAGCTATAACAACTCCTGACCCACAGGCAGGTCTGACGTCATTCCTTGCCTGGAATTCCCAGGTTGGATCCAATCAGGGTTGCTTCATCGGCACAACAGCGAACCGATGAGTGGATGAGTGGTGGTGAAGAAAATTCGCACATTTTGCGGCAATATTGAGGCACCCACACATACGCACACATCGACTATGGAAACATCATGCTACATCATGAAACCCTGCAAATCCTGCACAGGGTTTGGATACATCGACCAACCAACCGTTTAGTATCGACCATTCACAACCGTTCATCATTTGCTCGTCTCACGTCTCTTCTCAAATTTCCCGTCCTTGAAACCACTATCGATCAGCTTGCTGAAGGACTCACGCTCCTCATTGGTGGTGCCCGCGCTCTTGGGCACATGTGGGGCCTCTACGTTCCAGATGTCCTCGGCCGCAGGACAAGTGCACACCAAACGGATCAACCTCCTAACGCCATTCAAGAAATGAATGAACTCGTGTGTATTGGAATAGGGAGACCCTCCAACGATTGTAGTTGTTTTAGTTATAGCGGCTCTAGTTAGTCAGTGTTTGGTCTTCCGGGTCTTTGCTTTCGCGGTATTCAATGAGAACAACACGTCGTGACACACAAAGTGGAAGTTGGCCCTCTTGGTGAGTTGCAAAAGAAGCGTCCTCGGACCAATGGCACTCGCCAGGGACCCCGCTAGTTCACTGATTCAATCTCATCTGATTTGGTGATTGCAGGATGTCATCCTGCAAAAATGTTTGCGCCATTGAGATTTGTGATTCCAGGTGACTTTTGACGATGGTTCCGCCTTTCTGCAAGCTTTGCTGTTTCAGACTTTGGAAAGTTCCACCATTGCATTCATTGCATATTGGGGAATAATGAACAACTCCCAAGAAGGATCCGCCAAAAACTACAAATAGAAAAAGTCAAGGTTCAAGCTAGAAACGAATCCAAACCCTAGGCCCTAGCCTCCCTAGATCGATTCGAATCCATGGTGGGCCAAGACTATGGGAAACCCACTGAAGGGATCATGTCAAGTTCAATCCCTATATGCATCCCCACATCTGTTCGTCGCTCGACCACTCAGCTCAGGATCTTTGTCTTGATGCGCCACATTGAGGTCACCTCAGCGGTCAGCGCCGGACGTCGAATCTCTCTGCGTCGGCTTGGGGCTGTGAATACACTTGTTGATGGGACACCTTGGATGCGAACTCCAGTCCAAATCATAGTCTAGAAACTGAAGGAGTCACATGAGAGTACTTCATGAGCAAGATGGTATTTCCAGCAGCCTTGCCTTTGTTTGTACAAGGTAAATCACTGTTGGCACTTGTAAAAAGAAACACAGCACACATTGGCACACACCTCATAAAAACACCAACACTCCTCACATAGGCGGGAGAGATCAACACCATGAATCATGAATCTATATATGTTTGTATCATTTTGTATCCGTCAACAATTATGAATATCGGATGTGTCGACAAACAAATATCCGAGCGGGTTCTCCATTCTTCCACAAAAAAAGAAGGAAAGCCTTCGGGGTCCCATCTGTAGGACGCCCGAACGACACCGCGCAGGGATCGTTGGGAAAAAAAGAACGCTCTTCAGCAAGTGGCCCATGAGTAAGACATGTTTCTTTTTGCCGAGATCTTGTAGGCGTTGTCTCAGTTGCACGTCCCATTCCTCGATCCTCAGATGTTGCGAGATTTCGCCTTCAATCTGCAAATGTCCATTCCCTTTGCTCCCCGGTCGGATCTGCCGGAGAAATGTCAGCGTTCGTTGCAACGACCCCTCTTGTGGGCCAAAACGTCCCGACTTCGTGGAGTTGGTCAGTGGATCCATGGCAGTGGCTCAAAACCTCACCCACCAAACCAGGGAAGGTTGATTGACATCCAGTTACTAGTAGCTTCTAGCTACTACATAGTAATGCCCTTGTTACTAGTAGAGATGCCCCTGTTACTAGTAAGGAAATCTGTTCATGTGACCCGGGGTGCCCCAGTTCCAGTGTGCCCCGTTGCCATGACCCGCAGCACAACACCAAGCTGCAGCTGCTTCCCATCGACGTATCGAGGCGGAACATGGGGGCCAATCCGTGGGTAGACCGCCCTTCTGGCAGGCTCACAGTGACGTTCCATGGTCACATGTTGGAATCGTTTGATGGTCTTCCCTTTAGAAGCAACATATATCTAAAGAATTCCCAATTAAATGGTGTTGATATTCTGGCTCTGCATCACAAAAGCCAACGGTGGGTGAAGATTCTTTTCTTTGCATGTTCTACCCATGCACTGGCCGGTGGTTTTGACCAATCAGCACCCAAATGGCTTATTTGTCGCCTTTCCACAAAGGTTTCAGCGCTTCTGGGTCGTTTTGGGAAGAGGCTCCGCTGGGTCAAGCGCTTCAGCTGATCCCCCGAGTTGGGCACGTAGCACACCACTACGTAGACCTTGGACTCACTGGGGAAGAGTCTTCTCATTCCAAAAAAAGAGGGCGGGAACAGGCCACCACGGGGTGGGACTCAGGGAAGATTCACCGACGCCAAAGATCCGACTGTGGTCTGGGGAGCAGAATGATGGGGCGCAAATTGGACCAGTCCGGTGTCAGATCGGTGCAAAGACTGACCGTTTCAGGACCAACATCAGTGCAATGCATCCTTTTGGGTCTACAGCCACAGTCATATATATGAAGAAACACCAATTGTCTGATTTGGCAGGGCATTGGACAGGTATCCATCATGGGATGTTCCTCTTGAAGAACTGAAGATGAAGATGACGAGGCTCCCAAAGGGTATTCTTGAAGTTGACCGCTACTAGACGTGAAGACCAACAACTCTAAGATTACATTTTGGACAGATGCCCACCAAACAATTTACTCAGGTGACTGTACTTTCATGCGAGTCGCAGAATGCACTTGGTGGCAAGCCAATATCCATTCTTCACAATGTGCATAGATGCTGGACTGGCAGAGTCCACAATACACGAACGTACCAACTTGCTTAGGTACCTGCATTCCAATAACCTGCATGACAAGGGAGCAGGGGGCCTGGCCAAAATAGGACCGCACAAAAATGTATATTGCGATGGAACATGAAGTCTTCAAGCTTCCTTTTGGTCACGATACCAATCATGTTTTCTCGTGGTTCCCGTAGCAACTCCCCGCTTGCGTCTGAAATCCTCCCTAACTTGGTGCACAAACACACCCCAAACCACGCGGTCCACTTTGCACCTGGTGCCACCTCCAACCTTCACTCCAGCACATCTCCTTCCGTCCGAGATCACATCCGACACCGTCTCGACGCTTCCATCCCCACCGCGGCACCGTCTCAAACTCCAGCACCACTATCCGCCCCTCCTGCGCCGCGCTTGGCAGATCCTCCGCAGTCACCGCCACCGGCCGGGGCGCCTCCTTCCGGAGCAGCCTCGCGGGGGTCCCTATTCAACTGAGCATTGAGCATCGTAAAGAACACTAGACGACAGGGTGGCCCGAAAGCACAGTAGATGAAACAAGGTAATGACGATGACGACGGCGATGATGGTGATAACCGATATATGACAATACTTCCCACACTGCGAAGCTTGAACGGTGGTGCATGGCAGCGAACAACGAAAAATGGAAGAGCGGTTGGATTTGCGTAGCCACCTTGGACATGTGTTGGCAGGGATTGGTAAAGCCCATCACCACCAGTTTTTGATAGGTAGGGGTCTCATAGACGTAATTTTGCTGCAGCGTTTGCCACAGACTAGATGCAACCATGTGACACCAGTGCAGCTGAGTTGTGTAGATGTCTTCACCTGTATCTTAACGCCTGTATCTAAACACCAGTATCTGCACACCTGTATCCAAGCAACTGTATCTATGTAGGCCTGTCGTAGCAGTTGCACCACCTGCATCTCTACACCTGTATGATGACGACGACGATGGGGTGATGATGCCAATGATAGTGATGTAGGTGTGTTGGTGTGTTGTAGCAGTTGCATCATGCTGATGCTGATGCTGCTGCTGCTGCTGATGCTGCTGCTGCTGCTGATGATGACGATGACGATGACGATGACGATGACGATGACGATGACGATGAGGATGATGACAGTCAGTTCGACAGTTGAAGTTGGCAGCCGTTCTTTAAGAAAGACATGTCTGGGGGGAAAGAACATGTTTCACAGATCTTGTACTCCTGAGGTAAAGCTTGAAGTGAATGTGACCGTTTAAACTGAAAGCGGATCGACAGGAAAGAGGTAGTGGCTCTGTAAAAGCAAAACGCAGCTGGCCAAGGATCGCTAAGACTCCAGAGTAGCCCTTCTTGGCTGTGGAGTAGTTCACACCTGAGTATATGGAAACAACCCTTGAAAGTGCATTCTTCTTTCCATTAAGCTGATCACTATATAACTGATTTTAGGACCTCCTCTTTGTGGATTCTTTGTGCCTCTTGAAGGTCAGCCCCTAATTGGCGTTCCACACGCTTACCTCGGCTGCCGCCATTGGCACAGGCCAGCTCGTAGTCGGGCAAGGTCTCGGAGAGTTCCTTCAAGGCCGCCTCGCTATCCGCAGTGGAGTCCTTTAGCTGGACTCACATCAATGGGAATAGGATACAATATGATACAAGAGGGATGTGCCTGTGCCATACTAGTGTGAGCTCAAGTGGTACTTCTAAAGAGTATTCGTAGAAAGTCAGCTTCTCCGATGCCATACACTGCCATGATATATGAATTGTCAGGGGGGGCGGTGCGAGGCTCTCCTGGGCAATATAACGGAATATAATATACCAATATATATATATATGCAACAAGATGGCTATATAATATAGCAATATAGGTTAGAAGACTTATTACGTACCTCATTCAGCCAAAAGGAAGCTCTAATGAGTTGGTGTTGACTGATCCATCTTCAGTTACTGTACCCAACAATTTCCCAACAAGTCGATTAAATTGTGGCTTCAATCCACCGGAAAACAACACACTCGTGGGGACTTAACATGCCAGGATATGCATGAACTAATCTGAAGCACAAACATGACATCAACACAAAACACACACACACACTCATCATGTGTGTTTTTCCTCCTTCTCTCCTGCAATTTGTGCTCCATGATCCCGATGACCGCTGGAGAACTGGCCAGCTGCACTGCATTTTCCAGGTCCTGGACGTTCCGACGTTCCGTGATCAGCGAGTCTGATTGGTCAAAAGGCGATCATGAGCGATGCGGTTGGTCTTTTTGTCAGAGTCTTGGGATGTCGTTTTCCTAGTATCCCTAACCAATCTTGACTACGAACCAATCGATGGGCACCTGTGCTGGGCAAGCCATATTCCATGGTTTCATCTTCTTTCTGATCTCAACGATCGCAGTGTTGCCAATGCAAAGTTGAAACATGTTAAGAGCCTTAAGTTATGATTAATTATGTAACATGAAGCTTCTTCGACTGCTTTGATCGTTCATACCTCCTCCTTATTACCAAAACCAAGAGGCCAGCGGCGACAAGCCCTCCAAATCCAAATGTACAGCACAACTTGCCAGCACTGGACAAAAATAATTGCAACTGCCCATGTGGCAAATGCTTTGTGACCCAAACAGGAGTGGCTTCGCAAATACCTTAACTTTGGCTCACTGCCAATGGGTTCATATATGCCGCAAGCAGGAACCTAAGTGTATGATGCAGATCTGAAACAACACATCAAGTTCCGGCCAAAATAGTGACTAACTTCTTGGAGCCTGATGAGACTTGTATCTCTCAATCGATGGTGCTCAAATTTATTACAACCTTCTCCCTTCTGCCGTCAGATTCTCCCAAAATCAACTGCATCAAAAGCCTGTCCATCCTGTCCCAACTGCTTTCACCCTAAAGTTTACCATCCAAACAGGCAGCTTCGTCTCCCGACCTTCGGCCCAACAAACCAACCCTTGGACTCTCGGCCCCCGCTCCGGACTCCAACCGCCGACGTGGTCCTTCTTTCGGCTCTTGAGGAAGGCCCTCAAACCGCCCACGTTCCAACTGAGCACCGTGAAGGCCTTCTTCCCCGCAGGCAGTGCGTCGCTGCGGCGGGGGAGCTCGGGCTCGGGGATGCTGCCTTGCTCCTTGTAGCCTCGGTGCGCGAACGCTGCAGGAAGCTTCCATCAAGGGTCCCTGAAAGCCTCCAGCTCTGGGGATATATGTGGAAGTGAAATGGATCCTCGAGTTTGTACAGAAAATGAGACATGCACCTATAGAAAAACAGGTATACCCACGACCTGCAATTTCTGGCGACAAACAAAGCATCAAATTTCATGGGAAAAGAAGGGTTGGCATTCGACGACGTCTTTGACCAAAACAAACTGAGACCTCGATGGTCATGGAGAACTTGAGAGGAGCGCAGTAGTGTGCAGTAGATCATGGGGCCCAACCTTCACTGTAACAGCAAACTTGATGGTCTACATGGTTGACTGTACTAGTAGTAGCAAGCGCATCGCTAGTAATTAGTAGCAAGTGCAAAGTCGCGAAGAGTCATAAAATGTCATGAGGTTGGAAGCCATCGCTAGTAGCTTGGAGGCTGTCGCTGTATGCTATAGTTAAGTTTTCTTAAAATCTAGGAACCAAATGAATAGTGCGAGGGCTTCTTCAAATGAATAGTGGGCGGAGGGAGCTTCCTTGAAGAAGCGTGAGATATCTAGTTACCGACCTACCTCACCTCTACAAGCGGCCTACTCCCCATTAAAAAAGTAAGAAAACATATATATATATAGAGAAACAATAAGCTACTAGGAACAAGTGCATCGCTTCTAGTAACAAGTGCCTTACTAGTAGTAACAAGACGCTATTAGGAACAATAATTAGTATATTAGTATATTGTTACAATGTGAAACTCTTATATATATATATTATATTTATTTCTATCTTTTAATGTCATGAGATGTCATGAGGGCGTATTGACTGTTGCAGCTGTTGGAGTATGAACTCGATACACCGAACAATGGAATGAGAAGACACAAAACCATCGGCAGATTGATTGGGCGGCGAATCCAAAAAGGACCGGTTCCCCAAAAAGACCAAAGAACCTGAGAGGACATACGAGCTTACAGATGCTTGCAGCTTACTCATCTATCATATCTTAGTCATATTGTCCTTTGACTGCAACGGTGTCCAAACCTTCCCGATGGTCCAAAACGTCCCAACCAAGCCACAAGTGTAAGGCCCCTCTTTGGCCTTCTTCCCACGCTTCGGCTTCTGTGAGTCCCCCTCGCTGACCGCACTGATCGTGCGCTTCGGGGGCGTGGGGCGTCCAGCGTCGGCCGCCTTGGCTTTGCCCTTCTTCGGGGGCGGCGTTTTGGTCTCCTCGTGGGTGTCCTCCAGATCCTGCAACCGGCTGTCCATGCGAATTACATTTGGATGCACATTTTGTTCCAAACCATTATATCCAACACAGTCAATTGTGATGAGTGCATGACCTAAATGGACCGCCCCCAAATGGCGGTGTTCGTTTTGTCCGAAAGCGGGTTGTGGGGTGGACCCATCGCCGAGGTCACCCACCAATTTTGGTGGACCACTTGGCGTCCCCAGACTTATTTTGATAATCTCAATGGAAGAAATTGGAACAGGTACTAATGTTGACCTCTGATTAATAAAGGCACTGTCAATGTTTGAAATTCTTAGGAACCCCTAAATAACGTTCATCCCAGGTTCCAAGAAAGAATTATACAATAAAATGAAATGTACCTTACTAAAACTAATATAACCAAAGGTGAATGCTTCTAGTAGCTTCTTGCTCCAAGTAGTAAGAATGCTACTAGTAGCGATGCCAGGAGCCCCTAGTAGCGTCCTTGCTCCTAGTAGTAAGGCCAGGAGCCCCTAGTAGCTCCTAGTAGCGATGCCCTTTGCTCCTAAAGTAGCTTCTTGTTTCAGCATTTTTCTTCTGGTTCCCGGATGTTTTGGGCATCCCCCGCTATCTAAAGCTCCTTGGACGCACTGGCGCTCAGCTTCTTCTTGAACTTTGGAGGCATCGTGCGATAGCGCGGGCCGCCGGGTGGGGCCGCCGGGGGAGGCTAATGATGAGCTGAAGGTACAGCGGCAAAAGCGTCCCAAACTCACTGACCACCAGGCGGTCTCCACAACACCGGCCTGTGGGTTACAGCACCTGCTTCATCCTGATGTCCGGAAAATATGGCGGGTACTCAAGAACTGTCAAAGTGAGAAGGCATGGTCATTACAGATCGCCCAAGATCTGTAATAGCAAAACACATGCACCATATCCCTCGATAAGGACCCAACAAAGGTATCGACGGTATTAACTTCTACACATCGAGCACCGCTTGACATTCCGGGGATTCCATCAACACATCGCTTGCGTCTCAATGACACACGAAGGAGATCGCCGATCATGGGTGCCGATCATCGGTCGCTGGAGATCTGACGAAACGAAAAAGAAACACTTAGCAACATGAGAAGTAGTAAGTTAGTAAGGCCAGGAGAGCGTCCTTGCTCTTAGTAGCGATGCCCTTTGCTACTAGTAGCGATGCACCTTGCTACTAGAAGCTTCTTGTTACTAGTAGTAAGGCCAGGAGCTACTAGTAGCGATGCACTTGTTCTCCATGGTCAAGTCGCCTCAACTTTGTATCATGGTTCGTCTTGATGTTCTTTTTGATGGCAAAAGAGATGGGATGGCAGGCAAGGCCAAAGGATGTCGAAAAATGTCTTTTGGAGGTGCTATTGACTTGGAGGGTATCTTCCCCCAAGTCCCGAACACAGCCAGAGTGGTCAGTTTGGAAAAAATGCATGTGCTTTTATGTGTTGAGGAGGCAATTGGTCCGCTTGTCTGGAAATCAGAAACTTAAGCAATCTTAGGCCGTTTTACACCTGAAAAAAAAGTCTATAACCATCCCGCACGGAACAAACAGGTTTTTGATCTTCGCTCCAAAAAAAGACCGAAGAAGACCGTGTGGTTCATTTGAACCCGGATGCCCGGTAGGTTTGAGTTGTACCCGACCCCCCTCGGCATCCCATAGGTTTACCATCCAAACCAGTTGAAACGTCGTAGACTGTCAGATCTGATCCCCAAAGAAAATATACATGGCCTTTGTTCCTAGTACTGGCGGTAGGCCAGGAGCGCTCCTAGTAGCGTCCTTGCTCCTAGTAGCGATGCCCTTCGTTACTAATAGCTTCTTGTTACTAGTATAGTACTGTAATAAGATCTGATCCCCAAAGAAAAGATACATGGCATCTGCTTGGAAACCTCTCATCCATGATTCATGATTCACATTCAATCCCTGCTCAGTCAACCGAGTAGATTAGATGTCCGAACGGAGATCATGTTTCGTGTCCTGCACCGGCGACCAAAGCCACTGTTGAAGCACCGATTGGTTCCCTGTCCTCTGCACGGCCCAGCTGCAAGGCGAGCCTGGATGAGTCACAAATGAGTCAGGTCACGGTGGACCTTTCCTCCGAGGTCCGGTTTCAGGTTTCAATCCCTGTCCTTTTTCAGTGTTCAAAGGTCAGATGTGAGACACAATGGATAGTTCATATGGCATATGGATAGCATGAACTGTCACTTCCAAGTGAAAGAAAGATCTGTGATCGCTTAAGCAAAGAAACATCGCCAGTCGAAGCCCTCCCCAGCACCCCGAGTGTCCCCTTCATCCAATCTGCGCTTCGCCCAGTGGCTCGGGTGAAATCTCTGCGCTGTAGCGGTTGTCGTCGGCGTTTTGGATCAACTCCAAGAGGAAGTGACCCCTGAGGTTGTGAAAGCTTTCTGCCCGACCTTCTGTTTGGAGTCTCCGAGAGTAAACGCAAAGAGGTGATGGGGAACTCCGTGATACCCCTTGCGCGATGTGTTCCCGCCAGCCGCCAGCGGTTACCAGTCACCTTTTGTGAACAGTTATTGAGATTCCCAATCTTGCGACTTGTTTGTGTTACTCTTCTGTACAAAAGGTCCACAGTGAAAAGCCAGGTGCGGACGGTTGGCGTGACGATGATTTGGGGTGACGCTCGCACCAGGCAGGTCGAGTTCACCCGCTTCACTAGGTTCGGGAAATGGATTTAAAAACTGTTGAGGCATCTGTTCAATCTGTGATGCCACAAACGTATTCAGTAAGTGACAAGCAGGATATTATGACTTGCTTTCACTTAGTGGTATTGTAGTATTTTTTTTTTTGGGCCTTGGACGAGAAAGCCTTTCAACAAAAGGGGTGAGAACACGAGAATGCTAAATAGTGCACATTTGAAATCAAAGAAAAATGAATATTATTACAATTGAGGATAAAAGCTGTGTGCCTCATACAATTGAAACCATGCTTGTTGAACCTATTTGAGTATGGGCCATGCGTGGAGTTGTAACAATCAATCTTTTTTAATTGGCCATGAAATTACAACCAACACTATTTCCTTATGGAACAAAAATAGCTTCAATGCATTTCACACGAGTTTTGTTCTTTTGGTGCACGAGGTTTGCAAATTGCTGGGGCCACTGGTAGGTTACCTGATTTGAATGGACTTGGGCAAAAGCAGCCATTGGAGGGCTGCAGATGAAGTTAGGTGGCGATAATTAATGCTATCAGTAAATTAAGGGATTGAAGTCACTCAGGCCTTTGGAGTTGTGTCTTTCCTCTCCCATGCCTCTGGAGTGGCAATGGACCTTCCTACAGCACATAACCAGCCAAGTTCCATGTTTAGAAGATCTATCAGCATAATACGGTCTTTTTTATTGATGCATCTTATGAGGTTGAGGGGCATCGATGAGATGGCATTTGATAAAAAACAGCCAAGTGAGAGTCACCATACTTTCCATTGTCATTTCCACATTCAAAGGAAGAGCTTTCGGAAACCGCGCAGGTGATCCCAAGGCTGATTTTTTCTTGCGCGCGCTGCAAAGTCAAAACTTTGTGGCCGAAGCAGCCACCAAATGCCAACATTGCAAAGCAGTCAAGCGGCCGAAGCAGCCACCACTGCCCCAAAGCCGAAGCAGCCATGCTTAGTCCTCATTCTCCAAAGGATCCCAGACTTCATCTTCTTCGTCCTCCTGCTCTTCCTGTGCTCCCTCTCCTTCGTCGTCCTCTGGCACAGGCACTGGCGCGGGCTTTGGCTTTGGTTTTTGCTTTGGCTTGCACTTCGGCTCTGCTTTTGCTTTTGTTTTGGTTTTCGGCGTCGGTTTTGGTTTGGCCTGGGGCTTAGCCTTAGGTGCAGGCTCAGGCGTTGCTGCTGTCTGGACCCACACAGCTTCACTGTAGGCTGCGCTGAACAAAGGGGAGGTTGAGTCCCGCATGTCCTTTTCCAAAAGAAACATGAGCCTCTCTTCCATGAGGCGTTCGTGCTCCGGATTGTATGCCACGCCGACATACCCGACGCGGTTCCGCAAAGCTGCGTAGGCAAAACGAGCGTCAAGGGGTGTCAGGTCGAACACCATCTTTGCGTAAAAACAATGGAGCAGTTCTTCGTAAAGCTCCAAGGGTGGGCTGTGGAAGGAGACTGGTTCCTTCGCGTTGCTCGCTCGGTCGTTCGGCTTCTCTTCATCCTTAAATTCAGTCTTGCCGCCCACCAAAATTTGATGTTTTTTACCCAAAAGTTCCTTTTTTGTTTTCCAATCAAGCTGCCATTCCTCTGTCCAAGATGGCATCTTCACATTGGTGATCAGATCGCCTGTGGTCGACCCATCAAAGTGCTTCCGGTCCCTGCTGGGAAGGGTCAACTTTTTGGCGCTCAACACATGACACTGCTCCATCTGCTTGATGGTGCAGGTGCCCCTGACTCTTTTCTTTCGGGCTGCCAAAGACTGCTCACTGTATCCAATCTGGAGCAAGTCCACAAACAAGGTCGGTTTGTCATCTTCCTCCTCCCCCCCTTCTTCGCCTTCTTCCTCCCCTTCTTCCCCTCCATCCGCCTTGGAGGCAGTCCCTTCACGCCAAGGTGCCAAGAGCTTGTTTCTCAACCCCTTTTTTCCACCATCAAAGAGCAAAGCCACCTCGCTTACTTGTAGGTGTGGGGTATGCCCATCAGTGGCACCTTTTCGAGCATTCAAAACACTTTTGACCAACCGTGTGTAGAGGGCTTCACGAAAGGTTGCTATCCGAAGATCTGGGCGAGTAGTAGGTTCTCCATACTTCTTCAAATCAAAATGGAACAAGGCCATTCCAGTTTGATCACCGCGCAAAGACATGGAGGGAGTTTCCTTCAGAGCTTCTTCCAAGTCAGCATTGGAGCGATGGTCGCTGACAAATCTGACATGTTGTTGCACTACCTTCCGCATGTGTTGCCGCCACATGGCAGCATCCGAATCGGTAAGAGTGGAGGCCGGAGCAGCCTCAGCAGCGGTGACAGAGGCCGGTGCAGCCTCAGAAGCTTCAGCCTCAGCTGTTTCGGTCTCCTCCGCTTTTTCTTCGACTTGCGGCGCATTTGGTGCTTGTGGTCTTGCCTCTTGTCTCACCAGTGCTCCTAAATTTTCCATGGTACTTTTCACAGATGAGTACGCCAAAAAGTCTTGCACCTCATGCCGATTTTTGATTCCATCTTTGTAGCGACCGTCATACTCTTGTCCATAGATGACCCCTTCCAGGAAAGTACTGATTTCAGAAACGCTGGTAGGAGCCCCCAGCAACCAGGCCGTATCAGCCGTTTGCTGTGGGTATGGAGCAAAGTGCCCACGAACCTTCTCAAACGAGCTGAAAGTTGATTTGATCTTGTTTTTCCATTCCGTGGGCAATTCCAAGGACATGAGCCACTCAGTGAGCAAGTGTTGTAACACCTTTTTTTTCATTTTCAAAACTTCGATGTAGCTCACCCTGGAGTCTTTGAGCTTGCTGATGACAAACACTCCTGCATCTAGAAATGACATCCTCACTCCATCGACCATGCCTTGCAACGCCCAGGCTATCATCTCAGGCGTTCCAGCGCGGTCGATCAAAGCTTGCAAAGCATAGATTGACTTCCACGGGGACACACTAAGCCAATTTTGGTCACACCACTCTAAGACTTGTTGGCACGCAGGTTGCGACAGCAGACGCCTGTGGATAGTCAAGGCTGAATCTACAAAACTTTCTGAAATCCTCTCTTGGTTTGAAGCCAGCTTCAGGTGCGCTGAATAAAGCCCGGCTAGCTTTTTAGATCCCAGGTTGGTTTCTGTCTTGCTCTTGGCTTCGTGAAAGCCCGCAATGTCGAAGATGCGCTGCCGCAAGGTCATCTGCACAGCCAAACCCTTTTCCACCATTTCTTCTCGAATGTTTTGCGCCCTCCAGTACCGAGCCTCCCCAACTCCACAGATCTCAAAAACAAAGCTTGCAGTCAAAACGCAAGATTTGAAAGCTCTGAGGACATGTTCTGGCGCTTTGCGTTGAATGGCTTCTGCCAAAGCAAAGAGCAGCGCATGGACTGGTTCTGCTGGACTCAAGCGTGCGAAGCCTGCTTCTGGGCGGTCGGCGACAGATGTCGGCTTCTCGACCGCAAGATTTATAGTGAATGGGCACAGGCTTGGCTCTGCATTTGGGGGAAACCAATAATCTTTGATTTGTTGAACCTGAGAGTTGTTGATTGGAATCTTGTGCGTGGCCAACCACAACAAGTCTTGATGGAAAAAATTACCCGCACACCTGTAAACACCAACACTCTTCAAGGCCGCAGCAGCCTGAGAAAGATCCAATGGCGACTCTCGTCCACCATTTGTTGGCGACAGTGGGCTTTCTCCACGAATGTCCTTGAACATTTCATGTGCAAAAATGCATTGCAAGGCATCGTGCACTTTCAACAAGTGAGCCTGGCAAAGCCCAGTCTCTGTTGGCATTGTCACTGGCTCAGCCGTTGTTGTTGGCCCGGTCTTCTGCTTTTTCTTCGGGGCCATGGCTGGGTGAAGCAGTGGTATCAACAGGGTTCAGAGCCACTCTGTGCTGCAGAAACAGAGCGGCATTTCATCATTTTAAAGACATGGTGGAAGACGCCTGCAGTTCCACTTTTGGAGAACACTTTTAAAAGCAACAGGGATGATTTCTCTATTATAGTTCGTCATCTTATTGTGCGTATGTACATATGTCACACTAGTGGAAATTAAAAACCACATGCCCCTCGCCGCCCAAACCGCCGCGCGCGCCATTTTTTCACTGGATCACTTGAGAATCAGTGAGTTCAAAAAAATGTGCGGCTCCCAGCTTTGGACTGGCCACTGCCTTTCAACTTTGGCCGAAGCAGCCAAGCATGGCCGAAGCAGCCATGTCTAAGATCCATGTTGGCCACATCTTGGGTCTGAGCAGCATTGTCTGCAAAGCTGGTTGGGGCAACGTGTACCAGGTTGGTTGCGGTCACATTGGCGGCACATCCTAATAGCAATGACAGGCGGCGGCTTAGACAGCCCTGCCTGTCTTCGTTCCCGGTCTGCCGCAGCCCTTTCAGCTTTCCTATTGGCCCAGCCTGATTGCCTATTGCGGGCGTAGCCTCCAGAGTACCATGCCCCACTGCCACTGGCTGGCACTGGAGCTGCCAAGACAGGGATTGCCATGGAAGCAGCTGCAGGCAGTTGCATGCGGACTTGTTCCATCACTGTGTCAGTAATTTGTTTCACAGCGTTTTCGAGGTCCTGCTGTGTGGCAACACGCTGCTTGTTCTCTTTCAACTCTAAGACTGCGCCAGGCTTTTCTTTCTTGATCTGTGCTTCCGACGGTTCTAGGTGTAGTCGAGGTCGGGCGCGTGGAGGCCTGGAGGCGTCCTGAGAAGAATCAGTTTCTTCCCGGATTCGACGGGCATCTTGAGTCTGATCAGGCTCTGTTTTGCAAGCCTGATTGTTGCCATTAACCCCTGCGGGCTTTTTCGCCGGAGACTCCGACTCGTCATAGTAAGACGACGACGAAGAGGAGGACGAAGCTGCTTTCTCAGGCGCAGCCTCCTCAGTCACAATTGCACCAGGTGCGGCTTCATCGTCATCAACAGGACCAGGTTCGTCCTGCGCGCAGCTTTCCAGCGGCAAGGCTTCTGCAGGTGGCTGCGCTTCGGGCGCATGAGCCAGATCGGCCGCAGCAGCCGAAGAAACAGTTGCTGTGGCCGAAGCAGCCACCTCCTCAAAGACTTCATCCTTGACATTGTCAACCAGCGCAGCAAGGGCTCGCTCAACTAAGTCCTGGCTGTGTGGCCCGTTTGGGGGGCCTTCCCTGAAAATGTCCAGCGCAGTCTGTGTGCACCCCAAGCCCAGCTCAGACTGTAGGGACCAAAAATCAGCAACCATTTTCGTCATTGATGCCATCCACTCATCCCACTTGTGTCTCGGACGCGGAAAATCCTGATACTGGGCTTGGAACCAGAATCCCTCCTTCAGTGACTTCTGAGCACCGAAACCCAAGGATAGCAAAGCATCCCAGTCATCATCGATGACAGCGGTCATGCGCTCACTGTGCTTGTGTTTGTCGTCCTTGCGCTTGACCAGGTGGATGTTTGACTCCGGAATTCCCAGCGAGCAACAGAAACGAATTACCCAATGAGTCTTACTTGGGTAATTGACCCGGCTGACAACTTGGGGATACCTGCCAGTGCGGTGGTGCAGCAGGTGCACAAACATATAAGCATTTGGGGCAGCTGCTTCATGAATTTGCTCTCCATCGAAACGAGTGTCACCTTTACTGCTCAAGACGCCACCCACATCAATGGCTACATGCTCAGCCGAAGCAGCCGCATGCATCTTCTTCCGATAAGTTTTCCCCATCAAAGCGGCCGAAGCAGCCGCTGAGTGGCCACAGAAGCCGTAAAATTGAGCCAAGACTGCGACAACCCAAGTATACTAACACTGCAACCTGCGACCACAACGACGACCACGACGACGACTACTACGACAACGACCAAGGAAAACAGTCTTTGTATGGACAGGACAATCCGTCTGGTCCTTAGGAGGTTCAAGGACGTCCCCGATGCTCGGTTGGAGAGGACAAACACGGGACAAAGCCTTGTAGAACAGTACCACTTAAGGGAATTGCAGTTTCCACCCCCCCTTCGCCCTCTCCTTAGGAGGTTCAAGGACGTCCCCGATGTTCGGTTGGACAGGACAATTCGTCCTGTTGATAGGAGACTGTCTCTTATTTTCAGGGTGATTCCCAACTAAAGTGCCTGCAGAGCCAGAAAACCCGATCCAAGTTCTAAACCCTGAAACTTTTTCAGAAGGCTGTGTGTCAGAAATCTCGTGGCTAAGTATGGCCGAAGCAGCCATGCTTGGCCGCAGCAGCCAGGCAGTGAGAGTTCCTAGAAGCAGTGGCCGAAGCAGCCACTGCTGGATGAGGCAGGAAAGGTTTTGAACGCAAGGCCATTGTTTCCTGAACTAGCTGGTGGAACCCGTCGAACCATTCCCTTTTCATTTTCTCCCATGTGAAGCCTCCATAGTCTCCAGGGCATGTTTTCGCAAGTTCCTCCAGAAACAAAGCCGCCACTGAAAATTCCTTCTCTGTTACTTCAGTAACCTGCATCCGTTCTGGGTTCTGTGGAAGAGCGAAGACCAGATGCTCATCTGGCTGTTGATCCCATGGCAGGATACGGATGGTGGTGAGCAAGTCCAAGCTGACTTGAACCTCGTCCTTGCGCATTGGCTTCATGTACGGATTCATATTTGTGTAAATCCAAAATATTGAGTTCCGGGTGCACTCGATGGTGTTATCATAGGGCTCAAAGTAGTGCTGCGTCAAAACCTCCCTTGTCACTTGGGCGTAGGAGCAAAAGTCTGACAAGGAAGTGGGCGCGGCCATGGAAAGGGAGGAAGCAGGGCAGAGGAGAGCTGGTGAGCCTCAAAACTGTGACATGACAGTTCCAGTTCTATAATAACTGTATTATATTTTTGGTATTATAGTTTCCAAGTTGCATTTAGTTTCCAGGTTGTCATTGTTTAAGGTTAGACCTGTTTTTTTTTATCCCCTGGTCCACTGAGCTGTCTGTGAAAACCGAAACTAAAATTTGCTTTGTTGTACAAAGCAGGGCAAATGATTGCCACTACACCCAAAGGCCGAATCAGCCAAATATCCTGCAGAGGCCGAAGCAGCCCTGCCTCACTGATCCATGACTGGAAAGTCTACAAGCTTGGAAGCCAGACCTGCTGAGAACATTGCTTTCTGCAAGACCTCTCCAACAAGGGGCACAGGAACACAATTACCCAGCATTCCTTGCAACTGGCTTTTGCTCACCAGTTTGTCCCAGCCTTGCAGCTCTGTGCTTGGACTGATTCCTGAGACCTTCAACATTTCTGTGGTTGACAAAGTTCGGCCACGACTCGAAATCCAAAAGCCACCGCTTCTGGCACGTCCTTGACACAGGGTTCTGCTGATGTCAATCCCGAAATTTGCATAAGAAGCCGAACAACCAATATCAATGGCCACTGGAACTTTTCGAGGGTCAATACCCTTGGAGTATGACTTTTTGTAAGCGTCTAAAGCTAAGGCTCGAGACCGTGGATTTTTTGGCAAACGCCCAGGCTTGTCAGCAGGTGTGGCCGGATCCAGAGCAGAAGAAAGAGTGCGCTTGCCACGTTTCCGAGGCCACTGGAATTTGTGCCTGTAGGAATCTTGGCGGATTGCGACGACAAACAGGCGCCATCGGTCTTGTGGAACAAAATAAAAACGAGCGTTCAATACACCGACAAAAACATGATACCCCAGGGTCTGTAGAGCAGAGCGGACGCCCCTCAAAACAGGTCTGTGTTTTTTGGAACACATTCCTTTGACATTCTCCATGATAAACAGTCTTGGGCGATGACGCTGCACATATCTGATTGGCACCTTTATCAATTGGCCCCTGGGATCTTGGAGGCCTAGTTGCTTGCCTTGCGAGCTCCATGGTTGACACGGCGGAGTGGCGATGTACAGATCGACAGGAACTTCCTCTTCCTTCTTTCGACCCTCTGCATTATCGTAGAAATTCTTTGGCTGATGAAAGTGTAACAGAAGCTTTTTACAATGTTTGTCCGTGTCGCTCCAAAAGCAAAGTTGCACCGGCAAGTGCGACAATCTCTGCAGAGCAAGAACAGCAGTGTCTAAGCCTGAGAAATCTGTCCCAACCTTGATGACTCGTGGGGTTCGGAGCGCAGTCATGCCAGACAATCGGGGCAGCTGTCAGCCGAAGCAGCTGTCAGCCCAAAGAGATGGCTTGAGCCAAAGATTCATGCAGGCAGTGTCACAAGTAAATCTCATGTCGTTACACAGTGTCTAGCAGCAACGGCAACAGGTAGTTTCTTTGTCGGCCTATCAATCAGGTTGCCGTGTGAAACACCCAAGTTGCTGTCAACCCATTTTCCCACCGCAGCCTCCCTGTGCGGAGGGGTCACCGACCTTTCACTTGCAGAAGGCCAGAGCAAGACGCGACTAAATCTGCACGCCGAAGACGGTGCAAAAAAGAATGAACGGTGTAAACATTTTTGTTTCCAGCAACCTGCGCAGTTCTTTCCTCTTCATGAATGACTGCGTACGCTTTGTACTTGGGGTACGACGATTGCTTTTGCAGCAATTGTTGCAGTGTACAATTTGGTCTCATTCTGTGAAGCTGCCAGCCATGCCGAGCCGGAAGCATTTCTCGAAACGCTCGCCAAAAGTCTTGGTGTTTCTGAGCGCAGGCAGCGCTGACCAGAACCACTTTGCGCGCAGAAGCAGCGCGTTGATATTTCAAAGCACAGCCGTCGCCAGACAGGAAAAAATTTGGTGAAATTTCAAAGAGGCCCCTCAGGCCGACAAGAATTTGCAAGGGAGCCGCCAAGCCTTCACCTGGTTTGTCGCAGACAATGACAAGCGCGTCAGACGCTTGCGATGTCAACTGCAGTCTATGGTTGGCAAGAGCTGCTGTCAATGACATGTTGGCCGAAGCAGCCACAAAAGCTTTGGAGCCAGCTAC